TTCTTTGCTGCCTTCCTCCAGAGCGAAGACGTATGGCTGGAGGCTGCGCGTTTGCAGCCCGGCGATACCGCCAAGGCTGTGGTGGCTCAGGCCGTCCGTCACCTCCCCCAGTCGGTCCGGATTTACATCAGAGCCGCCGAGTTGGAGACTGACGTTCGAGCCAAGAAGAGGGTCCTCCGGAAAGGTGAGATGGGCCCCATAGAGGAAGACCTCAGAAGGTTTGGAAGGTGGTTGCTACCTGGGAGGAGGGATTGGGGGAATTCTGGGAGTTGAAGTCCGCTCATCTTCAAGGGGCATAGGTTGAGAAACACTGCCTTATGGGTTTTGAGATCTTTAAAGCCAGGGGAAGTTGAAAATCCAGTTCCGAGGAAGCTCCGATGAGCACAGCTGGTAGGAAGGGATGATGGGAGGTGCAGTTCAGTAATGTTCTGACCAAGGCTTCGGAGACCGTAATTAAGCACACGCTCAGTTAAAGCAATTCCTCTTTTATTTCAACGCTGGGAATTAAGTTCATTCCCAGCCGGTAATGAGTTTCAAACAGTCCCTCAAGATAAGCGCACCCATCTTTCTTTCCTGTGAAGTGCTGCCAATAACAGAAGTGCCAAATGGACTATAAAAAAACCAACCGAAGTACAAAGTCCATATAGACTTCAAGGTTTAATCTGAACAGAGCAAATGACCTTGCTTCCTGCAAAGGCTTCTCTACCTTTGCCTGTCCTTTATACCTTTGGGGAGGGGCAATCACCTCCCAGCCTTACTCCCGAGTCGCCCCTTTTTGTCTTAGCTGCTCTTGCCTTCTGGCAGCTCTGTGCACACGTGCACTGGGAACAGGCTCCCCTTGCTCCTCTGCCTCGCTGCTGCCAGACTCCGGAGGCTCCGGAGTCAGCACACAACTCCCAGATGGTCCTGGCCCCATTTCTGCATCGGATGCAGGACCCTCGTCTGAGTCCTCTTCAAACTCCTGGACTGGTCCCCATTCTTCCCCACTGTCCAATTCCACTGCCGGCTGCACAGGCTGCCGGCGAACCACAACAAGCAACCACCTAGAGGACCAAGTGTGTACAGGTAGACTTGGATGACCGAGACTCTCCATAGACCTCTCTTGGTGTTGTTTTATAGTTTTTGGCTTCCAGCTCCTGGGGCGGGGCTTATGAGGGCCTCCCTTCCAATTGTTTGAGTCCAGATTTTAAGTGAAAGGAGTCGCCGTCTTAAGGTGTGACACAAGATGCCATGAGTTCCTGCAAGGCATCAGAGATCAGTGGTGCTCCTATAGACCCAGTTTATGTAGACCTGGTAATTCAGGCACCAGGCTTTACGCAGAGACTTTGCGTCGGGCTTCGCGAAACAAGTCGCTCGACAGCACTGGAAGATTAAGGGAATCTTCCTTACTGAAAGATGATTGATTTCAGTGCTAACCTTGTTCAGTTTAACTGTGCTTACCGGTTCCTGTACTAGGAACAATAAAAAGAAAAAAAGAATACAAACCTATCTGTTTGCAATTTCTTACCTAGGATTCACAGAACCATGGCTAAGACTTTGCTAACTGGGGGAAGTTGGCTAGGTGACCTTGGGACAGTTACCAGGAGTCTGTGAGTTCTCGTCCCTCCTTAGGCAAGACAATTGGCTAGGTTACTGTGGGCCAATGGCCAAAATGCCGTGAGTTCTAGTCCCACCTTAGGCGTGAATGCTGGCTTGTGGGGGATGCTGGATCAATCACCCAGAGAGAGTAAATTCCTGTCTGAGGCATGAAAACCGGGTGGGGGACTTTGGCCCAATCACCAGTATACTGTGAATTCTAGTCCTGCCTTAGGCGTGAAAACTGGATGGGTTACTTTGGGCCAATCACCAGGAGAGAATGAGTTCTAGTCCCGCCTTAGGCATGAAAGCTGGCTGGATGACTTTCAATCCAACCCACCTCATAGTCTGGTTGTCAGAGAAATAGGTGTGAGAAGGGATGTTGCATATGTCCCCTGCCTTGAGTTATTTGTAAACATTATAAAAGATGGGATACAAATTATAAAATAATAAGAACTACCAGCCCCCCAGATGCAAAGAGGAGAGACCAAAGTTCCCCCTTAACACTCCCACTTACTCTAGAGTAGCTCTGCAGGCTGACGAACTGCCCGTGGCCCATATAATCTCCACCTTATGAGTTACGGTCTCTCTCTTGAAACCCAACCCAATCATAGGCACAGAGCCATAATTGCTGGCCAGACATGAATATGAACAGATTGAACAATGCATCGAGCTGGCATTTCCTTTGCCTGCTTATTGGTTGGGGAGGAAGACCGAGAAGGGAAGGAAAAAACAAAATGCCTGGCCTATGAGCCCGATTCTTAAATGTCTGAAAACAGAACACTCTGCTTGCCAGAACGCCCTGTCCCAGACTGTTGTTCCGCATTTTATAGTCTCTTGAACAATCTCCTACTGGAGCTATAAACGTGATGGAAAGTGGTTTCCATCCTCCAACTAATCAGAACATTATCACAATAAATTTTCCATGGATAACACAGTCATCATTGTTTGTTGGCCATTATGGGCATAATTGAAGTCACCGCACCAGCTTGGTATTTTAAGAGCGAAGTGGAAAGCTATTACAGTTTTGCATTAAGAGGTCAATGCCTTAGCATCTTCTCCAGGGTTTTAATTTCCAGTTTCAAACAATCAATTAAATAAATTAAAAAAGAGAGGATAGGTATATTTTTCAGAGTTAGCAACTGTGACTTGGTTCCACATTGTGACTCTTAGCGTTGCCCTTTGCTTACTTATTAAATTTATTTGCCATCTATCTTGCTGTGATGACCCAGGGTGGGATACAAAATAAACACAGTCATGAAAACAGGTGAAGCCTCTTTTATTCCTTCACTTTGCTTCAAAGCTCCGAATATTCTTGACTGGAGACAAAAAACTCCCCCACAAGCAGTTACGAAAAAGAGGAAATGCTGTTTAAACTAAAAATGCCTATAAACTATAAAGAGTAAAAACAACACAAACCACACTGAAGCAATTAAGGGAACCAGGCAAGATAAGGGCTTGAAGACGTCCACAGATATCGCAACACACACTGGGAAGGACGCCAAACTCAGAGAAGAATGACAGACTAGAGATATTTCCATGCTTTTTTTCCAGCACTGGGCCATACGCATGTCTGTCCTTTTAACCAGTTCTCACAGCTGCAGCCCATGAAGGGGATCAAGGCCCTTTCCTCCTCCGTAGACAACGCCATTCATGTCTCTCCCTTATCCTCTCCTCCCTGCAAGCCCTAGGATGGAGAGGGGATGGGCCTGGGTCCTCCTCTTGACTGCCCAGCCGGCCTCTGCCCTTCCCCAGCCTCCTCCCCAACCTCCGGAGCCACACTTCCACTCCCTGTCAGGTGTTCCTCCTCCAACAGGGGTATGACACTTGCTGTCAAACAGTAGAATAATAAATACATGAACATTAAAAAGAAATAAACATTAAAAAGAAATACAGGTAATCCTCGACTTACAACTATTTGTTTAATGACCATTCAAAGTTACAAAGGCCCAGAAAAACAGTGACTTATGACCATGTTTTACACTCAACGGTCATTGTGGCATCCTCACGGTCACGTGATCAAAATCCGGACGCTTGGCAACGGATTCATATTCATGATGATTGCAGTGTCCTGTGTTTATATGTGATCAAAATTCAAACAACTGGCTCATATTTATGACGGTCGCAGTGTCCCAGAGGTCATATGATCACTTTTGGGTGACCTTCTGACAAGCAAAGTCAATGGGGAAGCCAAATTCACCTCATCACTGGGTTACTAACTTAACAACTGCAACGATTCACTTAACAACTGTGGCAAGGAAGGTCGTAAAATGGGGCAAAACTCACTTAACAAATGACTCACTTAGCAATGGAAATTTTGGGCTCAATTGTCATCGTAAGTCAAGGACTACCCTATAACTAAGATAGCGGGGAGTCTGCATTCAAATGGAGATCTTCTATTTAATCCGTCCACCACCTCCGATACAGGAGGCGTATATAACTCTGCCCATTGTAGTTCGATCCTGACCGGCTCAAGATTGACTCAGCCTTCCATCCTTCTGAGGTCGGTAAAATGAGGAGCCAGATTGTTGCGGGGCCACATGTTGACACTGTAAACCACTTAGATCAGGAGTGTGAAACTCGCATCATCACGTGACATATCGGGACTCCCCCCCACTCCGCTTCGCTAAACTGGGTGGAGGGGTGGCCAGCACGGGACTTATCCGGTTTTCGCGGGCCTGGCTTAAGAGAGAGCTGTAAAGCATTGTGAAGCGGTATATAAGCCTTAAGTGCTATTGCTGTGAAGGATTTTAAGGGCCAAGATGGTGGGGGGGCAGACTTCCCCTCAAGTGGTCTGATGTTTCAAAGGGTGGGAACCACCACAGAAAAGGTCCTGCCAACCGAATTCCCTTGGCCAACAGGCTCTGCAACAGGCTTCTATCCCTGGTGCCACGTGGGGCCGGCTGGTCCCATTGGGGCAAGGTGGTTTCTCAGGTAACTTAGACCCTCTCTTTGCTTGCCCATCCTTTTCCATTTTGAGCTGTCAGAGCAGAAAATTGGGGGTGGTCGCTGAAAGAGGGCAAGCACGAATGCCTTTTCGAGTCTGCTGGGCAGCTCAGGATAATGGCAGCAGTGGGAACTTGTGGGATTCTGAGGTGATACTGCAGGCTAGCCGAAACGAGTTTGCAGGCTTCGTTCTGGGATTCATTCCAGCTTCATGCTGGGTTCCCTCGAGCTGCCTCTTGACAGCCTGCCTGTCAAATAAACCCAGGATGTGTAGTCCACTAGGAGCAGAGGTTGGAGCCTGCAGCTATTCTTAAGTCTTGACAGTTTGGTATATTTCTGTCAAAGCTTCTGAATAAAACCGGCTTGCTAGTCCAAGCAATTGGGAAATGCCTGGTTTTAATGACCTTTTTTTTTTTTTTTTTGATAAGCAAAGGATTTGCATTCGTTAAGTGAATCACACAGTTCCCTGGTGGCTCCGTAGGGATTCTAGGCTGGTTCCTCTCTTGACTCCACCCCCTCCACCTCCCGGGTTCTGCCACTCCTCTTTCTACAGCGAGTCCCTGACATGCGTGCTTCCGAGGTTTCTCTTTGTGTTAAATTTGCAAATCGCATTACACTCGGTGGCTTTGGATATTGTTAGGTCCTGGATAAAGAAAAGGATTTCTATTCTCTTTCCCCCTCTCTCCCCATTTCTTTTTCTTAGCGCTGGAGCACGTGCCAAATTCAGTCCGCTTATGGAAAGCAGCTGTTGAATTAGAAGAACCCGAGGATGCCAGGATAATGTTGAGCCGGGCCGTGGAATGCTGCCCCACCAGTGTGGAAGTAAGTGGGCAGATTGGTTTTGTACACAGAGGGGGGCAACCTATTTTTCAAAGCACCTGAAGGCAGAACAAGAAACAATGGAGGGAAATTAATCAAGGAGAGAAGCAACCTGGAACTCAGGAGAAACTTCATAATAGTGAGGACGATTAACCAGGGGAACAGCTTGTCTCTAGAAGTTGTGGGTGCTCCATCACTGGAGGTTTTCAAGAAGAGGCAGGACATCCATTTGTCTGGGTTGGTATAGGGGTTTGGACTAGAACAGTGGCCCCCAACCTTTTTTGTGCCACGGCCCGGTACCGGCATCACAAAATCATCCGTGGCCCAGTACCGGCATCAGCACGCATGGCAAGGCGAGCCGAGCGACCGGCCAGCCAGCCGTCCCCCGCTTCTCCCCGCCACCTTCAACTCCTCCTTTGTACCTGTGTCGATGGGCTTCGGGACGGCTTCGGGACGGTCGCTCGGCTTGCCTTGCCATGTGTGCTGAAGGAATCCTCGCGCCTTAGTTTTGTTCGAAGCCGCCCCCCCCCTCGATGAAACTAAGGCGCGAGGATTCTTTCAGCACCCAAATGCCGCTTTCCAACCGGAAAAGCTCACCGGAAGCACTTTTTCATCAAAACAAGATGGCGGCGCCCAGCAAACCGGCGTTCCACGGACCGGTACCGGTCCGGGGACCGGTGGTTGGGGACCCCTGGACTAGAAGACCTCCATGGTCCCTGCCAACTCTGTTAATCTGTTGTCCTGTTTAATGACTTAAAAGTTACAGTGGCACTGAAAAAAATGACTTACGAGGCGTGGTGGCACAGTGGTGAGAGTGCAGTGCTGCAGGCTATACTTCTGACTGCCGGCTGCCTGCAGTTTGGCAGTTTGAGTCTTACCTGGCTCAAGGTTGACTCAGCTTTCCGTCCTTCCGAGGTGGGTAAAATGAGGACCCCAAGTCATTGGGGGCAAGAGGCTGACTCTGTAAAGCGCTTAGAGAGGGCTGTAAAAGCACTGTGAAGTGGTATGTAAGGGCTATTGCTATTTCACACTTACGAACAGTGTAGCATCCCCCCATAGCCACTTGATCAAGCTCAGGATGCTTGGCAAGCAACTTCCCCCATTGACTTCGCTTGTCAGAAGGTTACAAATATTTTTTTGGGGGGGGGGGGGGAATTGTTTTATTTTATACAAACAATTCATCTTCCATTTAAACAGTGTGTTGTCTGGATACAAACGTCTTATGCGATAACAATTACAGTTTATACATATTCATTATATTGATACTGATATACATAATACTGTATATCGAATTCTTATAACAGTTCCCATCTTAATATTTTTAATTATTTTCACGTTTACTATTTTTCGCTAATCGTCTTTAATTTCTAACTTTCAAATTTATTCTCCAGTTGTTGATAAAATAACTCCCACATCTTATAGCAATAGCACTTAGTCTTATATACCACTTTATAGTGCTTTACAGCCCTCTCTAAGTGGTTGACAGAGTCAGCCTCTTGCCCCCAACAATCTGGCTCCTCATTTTACCCACCTCGGAAGGATGGAAAGCTGAGTCAATCTTGAGCCTGGTGGGATTCGATCTGCCAAATTGCAGGTAGCTGGCTTTCAGCAGAAGTAGTTTGCAGTAAACCTGGGACACTGCAACCGTCATAAATACAAGACAGTTGCCAAGCGTCCAAGGTTTGATCCCAATTTGTTTGGGACAGATGCATCACAATTACAGTAAGATATACTATACAACATACACTTTAAAATACAAGATTAAAATATGTACAAGTGAAAGAAATCGTGTCCAGAAACTAGCAACACGAATTGCCTTCTGTCATGCTGCTGTGAGGTCTTCAAGACACAAAGGGCCTTGATGCAAGTTTGTGGCAACAATCGTAAGTGTGAAAAACGGTCCTAAGTCATATTTTTTTATTCCTCTGTCCTTGTAACTCTGAAAGGCCACTCAATGAATGGTTGTAAGTCTCGATCAATCGGCAAAAGTCGTATTGAGAGGCAGCTGGGTAGCCTTTCCGGTCAACTCCTCTTGTTTCCTTTGTTCCAGCTGTGGCTTGCCCTGGCTAGGCTCGAAACCTACGAAAATGCTCGCAAAGTCTTGAACAAAGCCCGTGAAAACATCCCAACCGACCGGCACATCTGGATTACAGCTGCCAAGCTCGAGGAGGCCAACGGGAATACTCAGATGGTGGAGAAGATCATTGACCGAGCCATCACCTCCTTGAGGGCGAACGGGGTGGAAATCAACCGGGAACAGTGGATCCAGGTATCTGCCTAGGAGGGATCCCTCTTCTTTCAAAGCCTGACTTTTCTAACCTGGTGTCTTCCGGGCCTTTTGAAATGAGGGGTCGGGAATTACTCAGGAAAAGCTGTTTTAGATCATTATTTTTAATTATTGTTTTCCTTTTTACCTCACTTTCATTATTGTTGCACATAATTCAAGGTAGTGAACATGCCTAATACTCCTTCTGCCTCTTGTCCCCCCCCCCCCAACAACCCTGTTAGGTGGGTTGGGCTGAGAGAGAGAGAGTGACTGGTTCAAAGTCACCTAGCCGGCTTTCATGCTTCAGGGGGGGACTAGAACTCACTATCTCCTAGTGATTGGCCCAAAGTCACTCAGTCGGCTTTCATGCTTAAGGCAGGACTAGAATTCATCATCTCCTGGTGATTGGCTCAATGTCACCCAGCTGATTTCATGGCTAAGGCAGGACTAGAACTCACAGTCTCCTGGTGACTGCCCCAAAATCACCCAACCAGCTTTCATGCCTAAGGCGGGACTAGAACTCACCATCTCCTGGTGATTGGCCCAAAGTCACTCAGCCGATTTTCATGCCTAAAGTGAGATATTATATGTGTTCAGGGTGGGTGCTACTATATGATCTGGAATAGCATAAACAAATGTGTTAAAACTATTGCAAAATGTCTAATGGGTCCCAGTGCATTTCATTACAATTTCTGTGGTACTTTTCTTTTATGTATACTGAGAGTATTTACATCACGACAAATTCCTTGTGTGTCCAATCACACTTGGCCAATAAAGAATTCTGTTCTATTCTATTCTATTCTATTCTATTCTATTCTATTCTATTCTATTCTATTCTATTCTATGATAAATATATGAATACAAATAAAGGAGAATATTTGTAACTCTGGGTTGAAATGAGGGCCCCAAACTTGTCTGTTTTCTTGCAGATTTTTCATTACCCAAACCATGATGTTATCTACTTTGGGTAATGAAACGTCTGCAAGAAAACAGCCAACCTCAGAGAGCACCAAGGACTCTTCAAATATATGAATATTTTAAATGTTATGGATTGAAACAACTGGTGCTCTGGAATCTACGAGAAACAGATGAGAAGAGATGGTTTGGATGTTCAAGAAGGATGGATGAAAAACACGCAATAGAGAATTCCCCCCCCCCTCCCGCTTCTTTCAGTTATAGTTAAATATTTAATCACCGCTACGCCGTGAACTAAAGAAGCTCATGTATCTGTCAGTCTTAATCATTGCTCTAATGTGAATTTTTAGAGAGGAAAGAATTATTACTATTGGTTTTTCCCCCAATTGGAAATGAAAGATGCTTAGCAAGAATTATTACATTCCAACGACGCTCTGAATCAAAGCCTAAGCAAAATTTTCATTTTGACTGAATAAGTTACTTGGATGAGCAGTGAAATGTGTCAGTTTAATAAACTTTGGTCCAGTTGTCATAATTTAACCTTTTTAGGTACTTAGCCAAGCATGTACTCTTCTAAGACGGGGTCTCCACCCTTGGAGACTTTAAGATTTATGGACTTCAACTCCCAGAATTCCTCAGGCAGCCATGCTTGT